GCAACGATTGGAACGGCTGCTTCCCTACGACTTTAAGCTGCTCCAACAGGAACTCCAAAAAGATCTCATGAATTTCTTGAATCTGATGATCTGCAGAGCGACTAGGAAAACTGACTAGTAGAGCGAGTAGATGTTGACGTGTCCTCAGCTTTAATGTTTTAGTTTGCACGCTGGATCGCATGGATCGTCCTGTTAACACCGAGGTTAGACTAGCTCTAACTACAAAATACTCATTTCGTTCAAGTCGTGTTTCCAGACGCGGCCTCTGGGTTTATGAGCATAAAGAGGATTTTATTATTTTTTTAACGCCTCCTGGATGGAAAATCGGTTTCATGTTTGCATTTTTTTTTTTACGATCTCACTGAATCTCAACCTGCCTTTGGACCCTGGGGGCCATCTCCGCCATATTGCTTTTTTACCTGCTATGAGCCGTCTGCACCTGCCGAGTTTATTTTGTGGTTTGGGTGTGACTATTAGTGTCACAGCGCCCTCCACAGGCCGGTTATGAAAATACACCATGTTGGTCTGGACTAGGCCTTAATATAGACCATGCAGGTAAAAAAAAATCTCTCAATTCTTTTTCTGTTTTCGGATTTGAATTTGAAAAATGAGGAAATTGTTTTAACAGTGAAGGTAGGTGAACGTTTTCATCTCATGGAGCTTTTGCTGTGAAATATTAAAACCTTTTTACTCGAACATTCAGTGATATTTAGGATTTATTCTGTAAAATTTTCTATGCTGTAGTAATTATTTCTTAGAGCTGCTACGCTTCAGCTATAGAAATCGGGCAGATCAGGAGCAGAGAGACTAGTAAACTGTTTATAGAAGATATTTAACTTGGTTAATTGATAGAGATTAACCCTGAAGAGCTCAGATCCTGCATGTTGGAGCCGCTTCATCTCCTCCTCTCTGTAGGATCGATCTGATCAGGCTGCAGCTGATTGTTCGTATAAACGGTTTAATATCTGCTACGACTATTAAATATATAAACACCCATATTTTCAGAGTTCAGAATTTTCAGAGTTTCATGATAAATATGAAACCAAACTTTTAGCCCCGCCTCTCCATCCCACCACCTGTGGGGGGGGCTCATGGCTACAGGTGAGACATGCAGGACTCTGGCTCTTCAGGGTTGGATCTTATTCTTATATCGTTCATTGTTTGCTTCTTTAAACTTCTAGATAACAAAGATCTATTCATTTAAAGCCAGATCTAGAACATCATGATCTATCATCTTCCTGAATCATAAACATGGTGAGCGATTTCCCCGCCGGCTGAACTATTCTGAGCTTCCTGGACTGTAAGCGAGCTGAGAGCTCCGCTCTCTGCAGGACGCTCAGGATGAGGAAAAGATCGAACGGACGGTTTTACAAACTGCTGCATCACTGAGACTGAAAGACTCTGATTTGCTGAAATGTTTTTGTTTTTAGGTAAACCAATCAGCAGTGAGCCCAAGAACGTCTGGATCTGTGGTCACTCTCTGGTGTACTGGGCCGAGTCACGGGCCAAATCCCCGGAGGTAGGTATGCAGCTGGGCATGGACCCCAGCAAGGTCACCATCTGGTGGAAGGGGGTCCAAGGCATGACCTGGTCCCAGCTGCTACCTCAGCTCCACCAGCTGAAGATAACCTGGCCCAACCCGGACCTGCTTATCGTTCACCTGGGTGGAAACGACCTGAGCACCGAGAGTCCCACGGACCTGCTGGCCTCCGTGAAGAAGGACATGACCTCCATCAGGAGCGTATTCCCACACTGCCTCCTGGTGTGGTCCTACATCCTGCCTCGGAGGGTGTGGCGCCATTCGCCAGACAGCCATGAGGTGGATCTGGTTCGCACCACGGTGAACCGTAGGATCCATAACATGGTGTCTGAGCTGGGCGGGAACTCTGTGACCCATGAAAACATTCGCTGTGGAGCGAACACGGGTCTGTACCGAGCCGACGGCATCCACCTGTCGCCCAAAGGCATCGACGTCTTCAACCTCAACCTGCAAGACTTCCTGGAGAAGTGGGAGCAGGAGACAAACTCCCAGCGGAGCTAAGATGTTTAGATTCTGCTCCTCTGCCAGGTTTGAGCTGCAGATGGATCCTGGTCTTCAGAAACAGTTAAAATATTCCAATCTCATTAAACCTCATTTTCATTATAAATTCTTTGAATATCTGATTCTCTGCAGATTTTAATGTTTCAACTGAAGAACGTTGATTGACGGTTTCTTGATTGAATGTTGAATGATTTTGTTTCGGTAAAACAAAATAAAAACATTAAATTCAGTAATTTTTCGTTTTTACTTCTAAGTTTTTTTAATGAAAACTCCTTAAAGAAAAAGTGACCATAGTTTGAACCATCGAGGCACATCAGCATCACAATCTCAGCAGGCTTTGATTTTACTTGGAGCAGTGCAGCGTCGGCCAGGAGGCGTCGGCCAGGAGGCGCCGGCCAGGAGGCGCCGGCCAGGAGGCGCCGGCCAGGAGGCGTCATCAGCATCACAATCTCAGCAGGCTTTGATTTTACTTGGAGCAGTGGAGCGTCGGCCAGGAGGCGCCGACCAGGAGGCGCCGGCCAGGAGGCGCCGGCCAGGAGGCGCCGGCCAGGAGGCGTCGGCCAGGAGGCGCCGGCGAGGAGGCGCCGGCCAGGAGGCGTCCAGCAGCAGTGATCATCCTTCAAGATGGATCCTGGAGCGACTGACGGATCAAAGCGCCTAAAAACAATTTATCATCTTAAAGTAAAATGATTGTGTGAATAAAGTACTGATTTTAAGAGACCTTAATATTAAACAATTAGCAAATGTGTTTTAAAGACTAAACTAGTGTCAATCATTGCTGGTTTGATCTCAGAGGTTTGATTTAATGAAGTTTAATTGTTTCTATGAGGAGCCGTTGGTAAAGTTAAGCCGTCTAAAATTAGGAGCAATATTTATGATTATTTAGCATTTTAAGAGAAAAAAGGCAGTTTTCCAAGTCAGTTTTTCACTCATTAATTTATTAAAAAAAATCTTACTTGGTCAAATAGATACTGGTAGATCTACAGTTTCTAGATGAGCCAAAGAAAAACTGATTCCAGACGATGAGGTTTCAGATCAGGATCATTTCTGGAATGAATTTCTGGATTTAGATTTATTTTCATCCTCCTGCAGCGGATCTGTCTAGTTCCTGTTCCATCTCTCTCCTCACGCCTCCT